TCAACCACTACCAATTACGGACCTAGAACAATGGGTTGAGCCTTTACCACAGGTTGTGGATGCGGTAGATTGGGAAATAGAAAATGACATGCAGAGTGATGACACTGATTCTGAATATAATGTGACTGAAGAATATTCAACTGAAGGAGAACATGAAAGTTTGAGCAACAGTTCTTGTGAAGATGTAGAAATCAGCGCAGAGGACAACAGTGTTGACCATGATGGAAAAGAGGGCCTTCGGAGATCTAAAAGGAAGAAGCACAAATCTAGAGTAAGATGAATCTGCAGCATTTTTTTTTTTTCTCTTTTGCTGGTACTAATTTTTTATATTGTCTTTGACAGGCGGAGTTCACAACTTCTTCTGGTAGGCGGGTTAAAAGAAGAAACTTGGATGAGCATGATGGTGCTACTGTATCAAGGGCTCACAGGCTTGGGAGGTCAAGAAATGGACATTTGACAAGAAAGAAATCTATTAAATCAGAGCCACTGCGACCACAGAGAATTGCTAAAACTAATGCTCTCACTTTCTTTTCTAAGATAACTGGTGGTTCTACAGACGGAGAAGATGAAGATGAACCGGACAGCAGTTCCTCGGAAAGTGAATCAGCATTTCCAGATTCAAATATTCAGAGCATTGAGTCTGAAAGGTCAATGCTAAATAACCAACTTAATCATTCAAAGGACAATCGTGACTTAAGAGATGGATGTGAAGGTGCTGTTAAACCTTCTCAGACCATTGAAACTCAGACAAATTTGATAAGTAAGAGGAGGTTGGTCCTTAAGTTGCCACCTCGTGAGCCAAGAACAGTTGTTTCTGGATATGCAAGACCTGAATGCCACAAACAGGATGGTGCATTGGTTTCATTGCCTGTAACTAATCCTGATGTCACTAACTTGAATAGAACCAACGGAAGTGAGACAGCTCATCTAATCAGACAAACTGAGACATCAAGTCACAATAATTCTTCAGCAGATCGCCAGCACAGTACAATCAAATGGGGGGAAGTAAAGCAGCGCTCCTCAAAACGTCCAAAATTGGGGGACATGGCTACAGATGTTTGGCCTGTAGCAAATAGGTGCCCAGATGGTTCTGGCTTAGTTCGTAATGACATTAATGTACATGCCAAATCAGAGGATGAGTGTGGACCTTCTAATTCTAGGACGCAAGCTAATGAAAATGGTTGTGGGAGAATTGTATACGAGTGTAAACAAGTGGATGATGTCCATGGAATAACTGGTACCAGGGTTGACGTTTTTTCTCCTGAAAAGAACTCTGGTTCCTTAGTTCATCAACAGTTATCAACTTACATCAGCGAGCAGGATCAGGTGGCACCTCCAATGACTTGCAATGACAATAGAAATGATCCAGTTGTGCCGGTGGGCAAAGACCCTATGAGCAGTGATCTCAGAGATTTAAATGTAGCATTTAAAGGGCCTGAAATGTTTTCAATCAAAAATGAAAATTTGTTTGGCACTACTAATAATGTTGATGAAAACCAGCAAGTGGAGAAAAATGTGAAGACTATCTATCCAAAGCTACGGATCAAGTCAAGGGAATTAGTGCATGATGCTACTATTTCATCCTCGAAGTTAAAATCTATTGCACTTGATGGTTGCAGTCCTGAGGGTGATGTACTGTCAAACAGTGCAGCCTCAACTGGACGAAATCTAATTTCTGTTGCAGAAATGGAGGATGAAGAAACCAGTGGGAGGTATACAGACCATGGGAAATGGAATAGCAGATCAGAAAGTTCAGAAGGGTGGACAAGTGTAAATGCCAGATTATCCATTTCTCACGATTCCAAGAAGATGGATTTAGAATCCCATCATAAAATGTACAATGCTGTTTATAAGAGGACAAAGTCATCCCGGGAAAGAAAAAGTTCTGGAGCTGACATTCATATTAAGGAAGAAACTACATCAGACTCCAATGACCATGGCGGAGATGTAAAGGTGGAGCTGGGTGGTACCTTTGACTGTGCTCGCAGAACAAGATCCATGGGCACAAGGGCACCCAGGAATGAGTTAACTTATAACACGAGTAATTTTAAAGTGGACAAATCCTATGGCTCTTTAGGAGAATCTACAAGTGCAGGAAGATCTAAATCATGTGCCCATGATCAACTTAACGAATGGGTGTCTACTTCAAAAATGACTGTCGGTTTAAGATCAATCAGAAACAGAAGGGAAAACTACAAATTCACTGAACTCAGACCTTTAGATAAAAGAGGTTACCACCAACCGATTCGGAAACTATCATGGCTGATGTTGTTAGAGCATGAGGAGGGTTACAGGTATATTCCCCAGAAAGGTGATGAGGTTGCTTATCTGAGGCAGGTATATAATTTTTTTCTAATCTGGTGTTTTTTCTATTAGTTATGATTATTGAGATTTCTACACCATTATCTCTTATTTGTATTCTTGACCAATTTCAGGGCCATAAAGAGTATATTGAAAGTTCTGGTACACCAGAAGCAGGTCCCTGGGAATCAGTAAAAGGTTTAAAAGCAGTAGAGTTTTGCAAAGTTCGAGACGTTGATTACGCCACACTTCCTGGATCTGGTGATAGTTGCTGCAAACTCACCGTCAAATTCCTAGATCCTTTCTCCAGTGGCTATGGTAAAGCTTTCAAATTCACTTTGCCTGAGCTCACTGGTTTTCCAGACTTCCTTGTGGAAAGAACACGTTATGATGCTTCCATAGAGAGAAATTGGACCCACAGAGATAAGTGCCATGTCTGGTGGAGGAATGCAAATGGAGATGGTGGGGGCTGGTGGGCGGGTCGGATCTTGGCTGTAAAGCCTAAATCTTCCGAATTTCCAGAGAGCCCATGGGAGAGATATGTAATACAGTACAAAGATGACTCTTCTGGCCACCATTTCCATAGCCCATGGGAGCTTAATGATACTGATAGCCAGTGGAAACACCCATGTATCGATGATGACACGATGGATAATCTGTTAAAATCTATTGCTAAGATAGAACAGGCATCAATGAGAAATGAGGTTCTCCAATATTCTAGATGAGAATTTTTAGAAGTATTAAATCAATTTCTCTTCCAAGCATTTGACTAATTGTTTTTTTATATTAATGTGACAGGACTACCATGGCATTCGGAAACTGAATCAAGTGGCACAAAAGTCTGATTTTATAAACAGGTATTATGATGTATAACTACAGCTCCTTTTTCTGATTACTTGCTTTATTATAATGATGTTGTCATTATTGGAAAAGGATATTACATTATTCTCGTTCTCTGGCATGATAAATTGGGACGATACGAGTGTTCATTTGTAACTCGTTGTTCCTCTACACAGGTACCCTGTTCCGCTCTCTCTTGAGGTGATCAAGAGGAGACTTGAAAACTGCTACTACCGCACTGTGGATGCAGTCAAGCACGATGCCTATGTGATGATTTCAAATGCCGAGTCATACTTCAGCAGGAGTGCAGACATGATGTCAAAGATGCACCGGTTATCGGAATGGATCATGCGAACGTTTCCATCGTCATAGTGACCAACTGACAGTGACAGTTTTGTAGCAGTCTCTTCTATAAAGGTTTAAGCCTGCTTGCTGAACTGTAGATAAATTCTATTCCAACATTTTGTTTCATTGCCCATAGATCTTTTTTCTTTCCTGGGGAAATTGGTGTTCGGTTGGGTGATTGTTTTGATACAAAAGGTTGTTCGAAGGGGAGTGGAAGAGCTGGCCGAGGAAGATTATCTGCCAGAATTCATTTGTGTATAGACCCTTGCTTTACCATCCACAATAAAAAAAAAAGTAATAGAATTGGTAGCTTTTGACGTTCTAACCTTGTTATGTGCTATTATATCAGTAAAAATGCAGGTCATGTAAACATGAGTTTGTCGTCTGTTGTACGACAGCAGACGTAGTGAGATTTGTAAGCCAAGTGCTGAATATAATGCTGCTGTGAGTGCCTGTTCAGCCTACAAGCAGCATGGCAAGACAACTATGTTCCAGACCCCTGGCATCAGCTGTCCTCGAATTCTAAATATCTTCAATCAATCAACCATCGGGAAGCCCGAGTTATCGATGAAATTGAATGGACTGTTGAGAGAGACGACACAGCCAAGCCAATCGAAGCAATCATACGTTCAAAGCCAGTAAAACATGTATAAATGTGGAACAGTAAATACAAAGCTGAGTTTTTATTGTATTATGTTGATCTCGATTATGTCCATATTCTATTTGCGAAAAAGGACTAATAAGGACTACTTACACGTTGGCTTCAGTACATCGATATCTTTAGTATTTGATTCTTAGATTTAAAAAATTTATATTAAAATATCTATAATTATGAAAATAAAATATCTAGCTCTATAGACTCTAACGGCGTTAGTTTTACTAATGAAAACATGAAAACGATAGATAAAAAAATAATTTTAATTTTCTAGTTACGTTTTTTTTGTGACGAACGGCGATGTTAGAGGTAACGACACAATGCATTCGCATCACCCTGCATCTGCGTCAGTGTCGACAACAATACAATGGCGACCCTTTCGTCACTTTACATTTGCATTGACATCGCTCGATAACTACATCGATATTGATATAGATGAAGAGCAACGCCACCCTTCCCTGCATTGTTGTTGACACTAACGCAAATGCAAATGCCGCTCTACATCTACATCTACATCAATGACGATGTAGATGTCGAGTGACCCCGATGCAAATACCGAGCAACCTTTTCGTCACTCTACATCTACATCGAGATCAATGCAATGCTGAATGAAACTATCATCACCTCACCTCTCGTCGTCCCTCTCCCTCATCCCCAATAACTATCCGTAACCCCTAGCAACACCATCATTCACCATCATCAAAAACATAACTACAATATTAAAATTATCATTTTATCTATCATTTTCGTATTTCCATCAAAACAATCAATAACATTAGAATAAATGAAGCTAAATATTTTTACTTTCATAATTATAAAAATTTTAATATAAATTTTTGAAGTCTATAGACCACCGAGATACTAAAATATTTTAACTACATGCTACAGTTAGCCTTACAAAAGACCCAAATGGCTGTTCAAATGTTTGGTTCCTCATTTGCATCATATGCATACTTCAAATGCTTGTAAACAAGACTCTGAGAAGAGTAGGAACACAACTTGCATAAGCATCCCCGCTCCACAAGCTATCCAGATTTCAAATGCTTTTAAACAAGGGTATGAGAAGAGTAGGAAGACAGATCTTGCATCAAGCATCCCCCTCCACAAGCCATAAGTGGCTATACTTTAAAGCCCCTTGGAAGCAAATAATTGTGAGAAGAGAGCAGGAAGACAAAGCTCTCATGAAACTCCTCACCTTCCACAAGTTATCTATCGCTGGTTGTGCTTAGATCTACCTTGATGTAAATACTCTTGAAACGCTAGGAGGGGGATCCAAGGCCAGGCCTAAGCAGCACCAGAGAAGCAGGCCAACTGACTAAATCTTCAGACAGAAACCATGGTTCACACACTGGCCTCATCTTTATCCAACAAATAGGACAAGAAATTCAATATAAAGTCATCAAGGTCGCCACCCAGAACAGAATCAGGGTCCGAGACTTCATAGTTCGTTCTGAGATCTTTCACCATGCGGTATGGCTGCGAAAGTAAAGGATTAGTTGAAATTATCCAGTGAGAGAATGTAAGGTAACAATCTTACATGGAGTACATAAGTTCTTATTTGGTTGCCCCAGCTGATATCCGTAAGAGACTGAGTGTGCTCTGCATTTAGTTGGGCTTGACGGGCCATCTCAAGCTGGTCTAATCGAGATTGGAGCACTGCCATTGCCGATGCTTTATTTGAATGCTGAGATCTGAAATGCAACAAGTGCAAATTCAGTAAATAAAAAATTACATTAAAAATCTAAATAAAATTTAATGCTGTGTAAAAGGATCACAGTCAACCATTTAATCACAAACCATCTAGGCACTAGGCTCAAGTTACACAAGTATTTCGGCTACACCGAACTACATGATTTAACAAGAAACTTAAGTTTCTTGGCATTATATACAAGGTCATCATTTACCACTAGGCGATCATATACTCGGCATAATGAGCTTGTTTTACTTGTAACCTCATAGCTACAACTATTGTTCAACTAAAAAAAGTTAGAGAGCATGACAATACCTTTCATTTTGGCATGTAGCAGATATTCCTGTTGGAATGTGCACTATCCTCACAGCACTTTCTGTTGTGTTAACGTGTTGGCCACCAGCACCACTTGCACGAAACCGTTCAATACGAAGATCTGACTCCTTTATTTGGTACCGTGTAGATCCATCACCGAGAATAGGAATTACAGCAACAGCAGCAAAAGAAGTATGGCGTCGCTTTCCGCTGTCAAAAGGGGAAATTCTGACCAACCTATGCACCCCAACTTCTGCCTTGGCATATCCAAATGCATAGTCACCATCTACTTTAATTGTTGCACGCTGAAAACATCCATTGTTAGATAACTGCTGCTCAACAGTTTCTTGATTTTAGCTGTTACAAAACCAGTTTTCTAAAACTCAAAGCATATGCAGAAGTCTGCAAAACATTTCTAACACTGAGGAGATAAAAGGGGGGCAGAAACCGCTGAAGATTTTCAAGCATGCTAGAGACTTGCAGAATTATATCTAGCAGCCTAACTATCATCCTGTTCTGTCGAGCATCTTAAATTTTAGATACGAGCAATTGGTAAAGTGAAAAGACAGAAAAATTATAAAAAAATAACAAAATACTTTCAGAACCAAGTATGCAAAAAGTAACAACATGAAACCAAATGCACTATCCCATGTTACCACAAAAACCCATGTAGCAACCTATAGACCTTGATCATTCTACAGAAAGCCTGTGTCATTTTAGATCTCACAGGAATTGCTAAAAATTCCAGCCCAGGCATTCAAAAAGAAAAACAATTGCACTTGCATCTCTTCCAGGTAATTTGTGATTAAATATAATTTCTAGACGATGATATTGCTATTCTTAAGATGTGGAGACAATCTAAGCATTGTGTCTGATGTGATATCAAGCAATAACAAGTTACAAGACTGAGTAAACTTGATAACTTCTAAGAAGCAAACAACATTTACATACTACTTGTACAAGGAAAACATGCCAAAATAAGGCAGACTATATGGTAAGGAACTGAACCTTTATTCCTGCTATCTCACCAGGCATTTCCTCCACAATCGTAACTACAAATCCATGATGTTGAGCCCATGACTTGTACATGTTCATAACCATGGCAGCCCAGTCCATGCTCTCTGTCCCTCCAGCACCAGCCTGGACCTGGATTACATTTTTTTGTCAACTTTAAATGGAAGAGATTAAAAGCTTCAAACCCTCACTATCAGAGGGGAATGCCCTCACCATGACTCCTACGTATATGGATCCTCATGAAGCATCAGTACATTGTGAAAAGCATGAACAACTAAACAGGAAATAAGCATCTAAAACTTCAGAAATTAAATTAAATTCATAGGAAATAAAAACATCATTGACATGAATACATGTGAGGAAATAGGAAGCTGCTGGAGCATATTAATTTTACAAACCAAGAAAGCATCAAACTGATTTAAAAGACTCATATTGTAGGATTCATTGTGTATACCTACCAAAACCTTAAATATTAAGCATAAATCACCAGACCTAAATACCATAAAATTAAACATCAAAATTTGCACCATAAAGAAACATATATAGCAGTACATAAAATCAGGACTTTGGTTCCTTCCAGAACTTGTAAATGTATTATCTTTTTCTTTCTTTTTCCATAGCAACTCCACATCATCTTCTATAATCACCATAGCTGCAAATTTAGAAAACCAAGATACTGAAATTAACTTGAAATTTGATAGGATAAAATAAGATTTTGTACACTAATAAAATATCAAAAAAGTAAGGAATGAACACTTCTCATTGTAGTTTTTGACAAATGAAGTAGAAGATGAAAGTTGAATACTATAAATTAAGATCCATGTGCAAGAAACAAATAGAAGAATTTTGTACTAGAATCTTTCACAGGATACTTCTCTGTAACTAAAATTACTAGAAAATTTGAAGTAATAGGAATATAACCTCTATAAAGCAAGAGCAAGAATCATTATCCCCAGATAACAAAGCTTCAAGTTCCTTCTCTTTTGCAGTTCTTCTCATATTGACCAGTGCTTTCATAGATTCCTTGACAAACACAAAAATAGAAATCAATGCCTGTCAATGTTACAATTGTAGAGGCAAACGCATAAAAATATGAAAATGAATGTGTTCATAGTCAAGACGTAGTCGGAGGGTTGAAGAGTTAGACTTACGGTACGACAAGAGAATCAACTTACAAAACTTGCAGAACTCCTCTTTCTATGCAATAAAATCACCCATAACATGCTATCACCATACAAAAATAACTGGTTGTATCTCCATATTCTCCAAAGGAGATTAGGCTACAATTCATTTTTTCTCCAAAGGAGTTCAGGCTACAATGCATTTTTTCTCCAAAGGAGTTCAGGCTACAATGCATTTTTTCTCCAAAGGAGTTCAGGCTACAATGCATTTTCTTTGTAACTGGATACACATTCATAAATCTACCATACAATATTGTCTATCCCCATGAATTGCATCATATGATAATCGTACAATCACAATTCAAACCTTATTAGACCCTTTAAAAGTCTTATAGACCACTTTGATAGAGAATAAGATAAGAGAGACTTGTTTAAGATGGTATAGGATGTGCTTATAAGACTTATGAATATGGTAGTTAGACAAAGTGAAATGATCAATGTTAGTGGTAAGAAGAGAGGCAAAGGAAGACCTAAAAGGACCTTAATAAAAACTATAAATAAAGATTTAAATACTTGAAACTTAACTAAGCATATGACCTTTTACAAGCCTCGACGGCAGCAAAAGATTCATGTAGCCGACCCAAGATAATCAGGACTTACGACTTTGTTGTTGTTGTTGTAAAAGTCTTACAGACTTTTGTAATGTTTCACATCATCCTATGTAGATGGTTTTCTCATGTGATTTTTCTCTTATATGTCCCTGTATCAACTTTTTGTCGCTGGCCAAATCAGACACTCAAAAACACGTGTTTCATGAATATCAAGTGTTTCAAAAGGGAACTCCTCTAAGAAAATTAAATTTTAATGATAAAAACAAAAGAATACATGCCTAGAAGCAAGACCCCACCCATTCCAATTCTTCATCGTTCTCTTCACGAGCAAGCTTCATCAAGTCTATGTGCTCAAGTAGTTCTTGTTCATACCCATTAACCTCCTTCATCTTACTCAGTAGTTCACCGTGTTCACGACTTATTCTCCCAGCAGAAACAGGATCATCCCAAAGGTCTGGCTTGTTTAGCACTGCAGACACCTGATCCAACCTGACAATCAACTTTCTCCACTGCCAGCGCGTCCACATACACGCACAAACAACAAGAACATATTAGACCGACACTAAACGTATAATAAGCATTAGAACACATAAGATTTTGGACAACATAAGCCTGATTTCCAGGCGACAGCAACTCGAGAAGCTAATTTTCTACCTCACGAGATGTTCGGTGCAAAATCTGAAACGCAAACGTCTAAAACATTCGCAGCGGAACCCAATCAAGCAGAAGCAAAATCCCAAAAGACATAAGGCTCCACCTGCATCCGCTTCTTGATAAGCTGTATGGATTGAGCGATGGCAGCGGCGTGGCTTCTCCAGTCGCTCTCGCTCTCACCGAGGATCGGCCAGTCTTTGGCCGCTATGGCGTCCACCGTCAGCCCATCAACGGTCTTGAGATCCGGTACGGCTGCCGGATGGGAAGAGAACCGTCGGGGGACGGAAACCCGAGGGAACCCGCCAATCCCACCGACGACGACGTTGTTGAACCCACTCCGGATCGGGGAGCGGGCTAGGGTTTGCGACGAAGAGACGAGGGAGGAGGTCGACGAGCACAAGATAGGGATCTTGGAAAAGAGGAGGAAGCGAGGAGGGTTTGAGAAGGACCGCTTTCCGAAGAGGAAGAAGAAACCGGCCATTTCTTCTTCTGATGGAGTCGGCTGCGCGATTCCGTTCGCGTTAACTCTCGTCGGTCTCCCTCGCTGTTTCACCTTTTGGTTTCGTTCCTACGGGCCGGATTCGTAATTGGGCCACATTTAAGCCCAACCATCCCACGCATCAAGTTAATAGTCGTACGTGAATGCGTCGGCGAATCCACACAAATGCTCGTCGTTAAATGAATTGTCGTACGTGAATAAGCAGCAAGCAATCCTGCGAGTTGTCAGTGCACGTGTAGTAATGTCATGAACGTTACTGGTTAGCACCAAATCGAATCAGAATAAAATTAGAATAAGTTTGAATTCGATTATGTATATGCACGCAATAAGAACCATTTAAATTGCAATTAGAGGTTGCAGTTAAAACTATAAAATTAGATTTGGTGCAACTCGGTTGTATAAGTAGTCATTTTAGTTAATGATCAAGACACACTTACAAACTATTTTATATTCTCCAATTGAATTAAAATTAAATGAAAAGGGGGACTTGTGTGCATCATATGTTTGGAAATCATCACCACCGTATACAAGAATCCAATTCAATTATAATCATAACATTATGAGGTAATCAAAACTTCCAACTGTCTAACAAGATTTTAAAACAATCACTGGAAGAAATCAATTTGCAGAACCATATAATTCAGAGCAAGATTCCCAGCACAACTGAAACTACAAACCAACATATCTCAAAAGCAACTTTAATGTGTTATGATGTCTCAGTTCTCATGATGAGTTGGTTCCTGTTTCAGCGATCTGCAAATGTCAGCCTAACAAGCTTCTTGTAAAAGATGCGATCATCTCTTGCTGAATTGCTTTCCAACAGAGCACTTTGAGCCAATTCCTGGCACACAAGGGTAGGGAAAAATTACATTCAACCTCAATGTTATGCAAGTGATCAAATGAGAAGGACCTGTCACTAATAACAACAAAAAAGGATAAAACAGAACACTGGGCTGACCTTGACATCTCTGTGTGATAAGAATTTACCCAAGTTGTGAAGAATACACCTTAAATCTTGAACCTGAAAAATAAAATTTTAACACAGCGGCACAAAGAAGCTACGTAGCATATTGGTAAGAAATGGAAGAGATCACCGTGATATTACCTTGATATAACCCACTCTGTTTTGGTCAAAAAACCTGAAAGCCTGCAAATGAAGGAGCACATTATAGCATAATTTGCACAAGTAATGCTTGCCCCCCCCCCCCCAAAAAAAACCAGACCTCAAAAAATGAAACAACAAATCACCTGCAACAGCTGCTTATCCACAACTGCATCTTTTACATGGACTTCATTCACATCTTTTGAAGAATCTTTGTTTTCATCCTCTACTGAATCTTTCTCGTCTTTTGTAGAATCTTTCTTCTCTTCGGCAATCTGCTTATCTTCCTCCTTGTCAGACTTTTCATTGACCATCGCAACTTTATCAGTACCACTCTCACTCGTAGGCTTGGATTCATCATCTTTTGACATAGCTATTTCTGGCTCAGCCTCTGTTGTATCTGCCTTCGCATCCTACACAGAAGTTTATGAAAATTATAGAAAAGCTCAAAATTCGACATGATTAATTCTGACTATGTCACCTGAAAAAACTAGTGGAAGAAATAGATAATCACACAACTTGAGATAATTTAGCATTCTTGTGACAGTTACAAAGTATCTGAAAATACTGGTTAAAAATTTTAGGTAAAAGCACCTTCAACTTTTGTTGCCAGAAGAGTTGAACGAATGCAGTGAAAAATATAAAATTATAAAGGTCAAAGAATATGAAATTATAGAGGTCTTATTAAAACAAAAATTAACAAAAAATATTATACGGGCAACGAACCTAATTATAAAGACTACAGGAAGCACACAGTCACTTAGCAGAGAATATCTATTAACACTAAAGTAGCCCAACATACTTCTGTTAGTTGATTTTTTCTGCATTACTTTTAGTAGGTATCACTGATAAAAAAAACTATAATAAAATGTCATTGAATAAGCAAGAAGTCATGTAATTAATTAAAGGCACCATGGTGATCCAAGAAATGACCATCAAAAAATTGAAGATGAAGTAGACTTTATGGCCTAGAAATGTTATCAAGAATGCTACTGAGTACTTTATGGGTCAATGAAAGTAGAGCAAATAACAAGCTCTAGAACATCAAAACTGAAATTTATTTGTTGAAGACAATCACCACAACTATACAAAAAGTACAATAATACTAATGAGAAGCATTAACAGAAGAGCAACTACTTCAGTATAGTCGGGACATACCATCTACCCATATAAATGCTCAGATAGATATATGACTTAATTAATAATCAGTCTTTTTCCTACTCTTCTTGCATAAAAAAATACTATGCATGTTAGTTCATGATTAAAAAACTAACAAAGTTCAAATATATTAATATATAACAAGTTATCCAAAGAGAGAAATATGGATCATAACATAGAAAAAACACACAAGTTGCGATTAAAGCCGTGTACTTGTCACTCTTTATTATGAAGAATAGACCTTTGCAAAGCATGTATACGATTTAAGTAACTACCTAAGTTCAGTCACAATCACCAAAATATTACAAATTTATTCAAAGGACAAAAGATAGAACATCAAGAACTTGGATTGAGCAACATATAAAGTCAATAATAAACAGAAATCACTTGTATATTAACACTTGCCTCCCCAACTCTGTTTGAACCAGCATCATCATCTGCTTCCTCTTCTATAATTTCCTCTGGATCTTCATCATCATCCACCATATCGTCATCCACTGTCTTCTCTTCCATTTTAATTTCACCCAAACCAGCTGCAGTATCATCTCCGCCCTTATGTTCATCATTAGTTCTGTCAGATCCACCTTCCTTTTCTAATTTCACAGATTCACTAATCACACTCATGTCTTCATCACTAATCTTGCTAGATGTATCCTCCTTTTCAGGTCTCGTAGATTTACTAACTTGGGAAGCATCACTGGTTTTCGGACGTTTCACAGGCGATTTTTCCTTTACAGTACCCTTCTCAGATTTATCATCCCTTTGTCTTTTCCGATTATTTCTTTTGACAACATATCTTTCACGCAATTTCTAAATATCAAGGAAACACGTATTAGATGGTGTATCAAGACAACATGTATGGGTGTTAATGATAATGGAGAATCCAAACTTATACCTCAAGAAAGGACAAGAGGCGGCAGCCCATCTCAAACTGAAGCATTTCATTAAACGACTCAGCAAACAACGAAAGCTGCATGAACACATTATCAGAGATGGCTAAGACAAAATTACACCACACAAATACAGAAAAACATGGAAAAAAAAGCATATCGAGGGCATATTGACAAACTTGTGCAAGACAAGACAGCTCTGGAAAGGCATATATACAAGAGAAAAGGGAACATACCACACATACTTCAGTTCGATACAAGAACAGTTATGCCAAGTGGCACAAGTTGACAAGTCAGCAAATAAGCCATGCAGAAACATTTTACACCATGCTGAACCATGCCAAGGGTACCAACACAGGAACATGCCAATTTTTGACCTGTACTGGTTGGTAAATGGACAAGCCAATGGTCCAGCATGGTACCTATCATGATAAAGAAAAGGCACACACCACGTTCAAGAAAACAGTAATCCTTGATATGGTATATATGCAATTTTAATCTCTGGAAGGTAATAGCTTGGCAATACTCCTTCCAGTTGGCCACAATACAGCCATATGCAAATGCAGTCATGTTTACAAAGACACTAGCAAACTGAAAAATGCTATTTCACAGTGAACAAACCTCAAATGTACATTCTTCAGTGTCTTTGTCATTATAATCCAAAAGACCACCCAATGAGAGGGACATCGAGCGAAGCTGCAGAAAGTGATCCAAAATGTCAAACTGAAGCAAGTTTGCAGAAGAATTCTGAGAACTTAAAATAAGATATTTTGGTGATTTAACATACTTTAGATCCCTTGACCCGATGGGTTTGAAGAATCAATCCAGGATGCATAGGATGTTCTCTGGAGCCCCCTTTTTCCTTTTCTTTATGAGACTTTGGGTTAGGCTCATGCTTAGCACCTTTACTTTTCTCTTTTTCATCTTTTTTCCTCTCTTTCTTGCCATCTTCACCACCTTCCTTAGATTCCTTTTGCATTGTGTCCTCAGAATCATTGCTGCACTTTGAGCCTCCTTTCTCTACAGTGGAATGGCTATCAACTGTGCAAGTCTCCTTTTTATCTAGCTTCTCATTTGTCACTGTTTTTTCATTCAAGTCTACCTTCTCAACAGAAGGTGCATTAGATTCCTCCATTATCTTATTTTCAGAAAAAATACCCTCAGCCACATCCAATTCCTTCTTTTCAGAATGGTCCTTTACTTCTTTTACTTTGGTTTCTTCAGCATCTTTACTTGAATTTGCATCCTTCACTTTTGTTGCAGGAACCTTTCGTTTAATCACTCTTCTAATGACCTTCTTTTTTCCAGTTGTCTTGATCTCAGAATCCTGCACAATGGCGTCTCCGCCCTGCTCTTTCTTGGCTTCTTCTTTAGGAACTGACTCATCATCAAGCTTCATATCAGTTTGAAATTCAGAAGAATAAGTTGTCTCTTCCTTTTGGGGAGACGTGCTGACGGCTACTTTTGTGACAATTTTCTTTTCCGCAGAAGTTTTAGGATTCAGTGGATCACCTAAATTCTCACCTTCTTGGCTAGCATTTCCATCTTTATATTCTGTTTTATCATCTGACATATCCATTTTCTCATCTTGCTTAGCACATGTGTCCTGCACAGTTGTCGCAATTACCTTCTTAGCAACAGTCTTTCCTTTAACCACCTTCTTAACAATTTTCTTTTTGGTAGTTTTTTTTATCTCAGTCCCCAACTCAAGAGAACCCTCATCATTAAGCAACTTTTCATTGGTTTTGCTTTCTCCAACCACAAGTGCATCATCCTTATGTTCTGTCTGTTTGTCATCTAAGATAGGCCCTTTTCCTTCGTCTTCAGCCACAACCTTTTTGGAACCATCAACTTCATCCTTAGTCTGATAATTGGTCTTAATGTCACCCATATCATCTTTAACCAAGTAGTCTTCACCCTTCAGACTTTTGTCAGGACTATCATTTACAGTTTTACCATGACTATTATCCCCTGAGAATGTGATAACAATCATAAGCATCAAACAGTTGCAGCAGAAGAGAAAGCTCTTGGGAAGGAGCAGGCAGAAGTAAAAGGAATCTTGATATACCTTTATCAGCTTCCTTCTTTTCTCCAGATTTCTAGAACAAAAAAAAAGAGTAATGGGTTTCAATTAAATAAATTCATACATAGATAGCAAAAATACAAAAAAGATTGGGACAGCAATGAATACGAAAAGAAACCTTCTCCTGCTTCAAAGCCAGTTGTCGTTCCCTCTCTGTTGTCTCCTTCTTGTGCGCCAACCACTGGCTTTGCCATAGATCCAATGATGGAAGGCATTCTGATAAGTTTGGTACAAATAATACAGTGACTTCCTTATGGCTGAAGAGTCCATCTTTGCCAACTCTATTATAGTGCATCTGACCAAATTATAGAAAGTCAGCATGCCAAAAGTCAGATTTCACGGAAGCAATAAAAGAACTGTCATCCTATCATGTCCCCCAGAAGGGAGCGGCATAGAATAGATTATGAACGTAATGTATCACAAAAAATTATTTGGTCAGATCTTACAAGGACTTACAAGCAACACTAAAGCTAATGATGTCTCATATATGGTCACACAGCTCCAACGAGCATAATAGCATCAGTAAATAGCCAGAACTGTAAATGAAGAAGCATGACAGAGTAGGACACTCTAAAAAGGAACATATGGTTCTTGTAAAGTAAATGAAAAGTGAATACTATACCAATCTCCAAGATATACTCATCTAACTCCCTGGGCATTAGTGGATGCAATATTATTTGCAATTGCTAAAAGAAAATTATTAAATTGAAGAGGACATAATAGATTAGTAAAATCAATAAATTGCAACAAGTATGACAAAATCAATGTACATTCTTGAGGCCCAAAGGTGTCATCTGAAACTAACCAAGCTATGTAACACTGGAATTGTATTGTTGATTCAATAGTTAAAAAAATTGAAAATGCAAGGCAACAACCAAAAGAGATAGGCAAAAGATTGTCCAGTAGAGAAATAAAGCATAATAAAAAATTTGAGGAATACCAGGAAGATTAATGATGAAATTGAGAAACTAAAATGCCCAAAAGATTCAAAATAAAAAAAGAAACACAAGCAATGAAGCAAGCATATTAACTTCTATGGGGAAGCTAAAGCAGCCAAACAAGACAGCAACGACAGATATAGATGCCATCTAGATAAACACCAAATTATATTTCAGATAACATGAAAACATAATCACAAGAGTGAGCACGAGAAGCCAGGTGATACCAAGAAAGAAGACAATTTAATATAGAGACTAGTCTTCATGCAACAAATAAGAAGTTCTTAGTGTTTTCATGTTACCTATTGTAATATAATTCTCACTTCAGGACTTCAGGTAAGATTAGGCATTTGGATTATATTTTTTTTCTTCCTACTATATTGTCTCATTTACATAAGTATTTTTTTACCATTGGCACCGACATCTAGGATTTACAGGAAAAATAGACCAAAAGTAATCAAAAATTGTGAAATGAATTGCATTTTGCAAATAAGGACAAATCCGTCCCTTTAATTTTACAACAAAATGACATACCATCTCATAAATTTTCAACCAATATAAAACACCAACCCACCAAGTTTTGAAGCTTCAGTTCTGGTACAATACCAGTTCCAAATTGGCTACCCCAACAGAATATTGACCAGTACCCAATTGGTGCTGATCACCACAAAAATAGCTCGATATGAAGTCCACTTCTTCCTACCGTCTTCAGTTCTCTTTACTATCCCTTAGCCATGACCATCATCTAAGGACTTGTGAAGAACTATCTAATGCTACCAAACACCAAAGCTAACTAACTAAAATCACATATCGTTGAAGGGTTAAGGCAGTATATATGCATAATTTTAAACTAAGTTCAACTTTTAACTGCTTGGAATAAAGCATTCAAGTTCAATTCAGTCTAGTACACTGATCATCCCGACATCAGTACATCCATGTACCACTTGATGCTTTGACCGGTTATACCAACCATAAAGGAGGTATTAACATGAGGTCTCAAATGTCACATCCTATGTCAACCCCGATTTATTTTATAAGCACAAATAACTGGTGTCACCGAATCCAAAATAAATAAAAATTTTGCACAATAACAACAATGAGAAAAATAATAGGGTCTCAACAACTACATCAGACTGTTGAATGAAAAACACAGCCACTGAAACTCTAGCAAAATCTAGAAGTATTTAGAGAACGAACTTAATTATCACTGATCAAGAAATCATAAAGTAACATAAGCACATGGTGTACAAGCAAAACAAGAAACAAAAGATTTTTAATCAAGTAATAAAAAACCTGCTTGACCAGTCAAAATGTATTGGTGTTTGCCAGTCTGGCAGCCAGTTGTACTGCTAATGAACTGACATTTTAATCCTTGCTCTTGATTACCAACATCCAGCAGTCAATCTATTAATCTGACTTTTATAAATATATAATTCATGCAGGTCAAAGGATTCATCATTTCTTATCATGAGGCCTAACATCGTTAATATAATGGCATTTAATCAATCCAGTATTAAAAATCAAATTTGGATAATTGCCGAGAAATTACAAGTGGTTTGTGCCAGACAAGCACTGAGAACCCCAACTTTTATTTGTAAAGTTCCTAACAAATTCAAATTACAGATTCAATCAAGAGGATACAAAGCTTACTTCCCCTTCCCTAGCCTCTCCCTTTTAATACCCAACATGCTCCGTTTGCAACACTTCTCATTGTCATTTTCTCCAAAGATCCATTACATCAACCAATTGGAGCCAGTTAAAATTTTATCATAACACAACCTTAGAACCATGGTATTCAGTACCGAATGGTACCACCTGGTACGGGCGGTACATACCAGTCCGACAGCATACCGGTACGCAGACCGTCCGGTACCGCTACAGTACTACAGTATTACACTGTAGCAGTGCTACAGTGCTACAGTGATATACTTGTTACATTCTTGTTACATTCTATGATGCAAGCAAGTAATCCATGTATGGAGTTGGTTAAAAATCTTATCAAAATACAATCCTAGAAACTAATGTATAATCTTTACTCTTGAAAGATCAATAATGATTCTATAATTAGTAACCATCGGAGAAGAGCTATAGTAGGGTGCTCACCTTTATTATCACAACCAGTATGAGCGATATCATTCGAAATTAAAATCCTTATTACATTCTAGAATGCAAGCAAGTAATCCATGTTTCAGTATGGAGTCAGTTAAAAATCTTATCAAAATACAATCCTAGAAACTAATGCATAATCTTTACTCTTGAAAGATCAATAATGATTCTATAATTAATAACCATCGGGGAAGAGCTACAGTAGGATGCTCACCTGTACAACAATTATCCTTTACAGTCTGCGATGTAAGTAGAGTAATAAATGTTTCAACTAAATAATATTTTATATTTCTTGATCCATGTCAACTTTCACTCATCAAAATCAGCTGTATTTTTATATTTTTGATTGAACATGCTAATGTCACTAGATCAGTTGATTACCTGCACCTGCTATACAAAGTAATATAAAGTTATATTCATTGCAAAAAAAACTACCCAATCCACAACTAATATGCTTCGTGTATTTTTATAAGGTCATCACTTCCGCTTGGACCTGGTAATTCTTTGTTTGTTATTTTTTTTATATTGATGCATTCAGGTAGTAATACTCATGTAAAAAATGAATGTGGTGTGGACAAAAAGAAAGGATACCTATCAGTCCACTGGTTAGCGAACGTGGCAATACAATAATGCAAAGAGGAGTTCAATCAGAAAGGGAGTCTAAAAAGACCATGTTAGTTGGAATAAAGAATGTTTGAAGGTCCTTGATTTGACTTATAAATAGAGCTCGATAACCAGAAACAACTAACGGCTGTTGGAAACTGCAGCTTAATGTTATTGTGATTCATTTTTACGGTGAGCCTTCTATGTGCACTATAATTTTTCTGCCTTATGGTTTCCTGCTCTATACATTGAATTTTTTTATTTTTTCCAATTCTCTAATTATACCACTTGTACCAGGGTAGTTATCCATATTTTAGAACATCCAATTCAAACCTTATTGTTAGTTATCCTGTACCCAAAAGCCATTTTTTTCCTCCAGAATGTTCATGTTGCATTTTAGGCCATTCCTCAAATAGAAACATTAATTACTCTGATGATATCATAGATTGTAAGTTGTAATCATTGTCTTACAGGTTTTGCTATTCTGAGACCTGGCTGAAAAAAATCTTTCTATGTACAGAGGTAAGGCTGCATAACTTAATCCTCTCTAAGCCCTGCATTGGCAGGAACCTTATGCACTGATTTTGCCCTTTCTTTTATTAGCATCTGAAACACAATATGGTTCTCACTATGTTTGACGTGTTGGGCAAATTCAAAATAAACCCTAAAACCTAAACCTTAAACCAACCTAATGTCCGTCTAAAAGAAATGGTTAATGTTCCAATACATCTTGCCATCCTTCTAAAAACTTAATACAAGAGTAACTTCATGTCAGCAATAGTCATCTATGTTGATTATCTATGTTTTGGACAAATATGGACAACAGATAAAGCCCTTACAAAAGTCACATGCACCACAAAGTGGATCAAGAGAGATAAAAACAACACAAATAGTAATTTAGAAAGGTGCATTACAAGGAAGAAGAAGAATCAAATTAAATAATGATGCTATCTTTTTTCAAATTAAGTATATGGCATAAGAGATTCCAAGAACTAGGTGTTATATTTAATTAAAAAGTGCCATATAATAAAGGTTGTTCATTGTTATAGGCAGAAACATGGAGAATACCATTGGATAAGACTGACCTTCTCTTGACTAAAAGAACTTCCAAGTAGATGTTTAAGAGATTCATTGACATTATCATATAAAGACTAAACAAGGAAACTTGAGATCAAGCATAGTTCGTTTTGATGTTGATAAAATTATTTAAATCAGGCTTCAGAACAAAACATGAATATCAAGAATAGTTATAAATGAATTTTGAATACAAGGTCATACCCTAAGATAACAATTGACAAGGATGCTCGTTATGATTATTGATACCATAAGAATGTAGACAAGATTTTTTAAAGGATGTTTTTTAAGAGTAAAAAAATATTAATTACAGCCGAAGAAATATATAAGTAAACAACTTTAATGTATATATGATCCATCAGAAGCTAACAAAAGCATAATCAACGACTTTCATAGATAGCCTGAATGTAATATGACCAAAGCACATTACATAAATAACATTGCAAGTGAAGAAACACAGCTCAGAGCTGTACAGCCAGAAAGCAGTGCAGATGCAGCAATGTCACCAAAATATAATGCAACATCATAAATATGAAATGTTCAGTGCAATCAAAACTAGCCATTCATAAAGACAAACAAAAGTGAATCCAAGCAACAAGATTCTTTTGAGTCTATAGATGAATACTAATATTTAAAAGAACAAACACAGTCATAAATTTGTGAAGTCTATCAGATGTTGGCTTGTGATAAAAAAATGAATTTAAGAATTACAAGATAATTTCTAGAACTGTAACTTTCATCAGACATGCCCCATGGAAAATAAAACAAAAAAACAAATACTTCAAAGTTCGGGTGAGACATAACTGTAAACTATACCTCAAGAAAACGATTCCAATGAAGGCATTTATGTAGGTCGAGTTGAGTTGCATGCTTGACATGTCTGTCCAAGAAAAAGAGCATTTCTTATTTCAGGCTCTAATACAATAGCAAATTGTAAATATGTCCTACAAAAATACCCTCTGCAAACAACAGGAAATGTACATAATGTATCAATACAAAAGTACCACACCTAATAGCTGTCTGAATTAAAGAAGAATCATTAACTTGAGGATCCCCATCTAAAGTCACATGTGATGGGCCTCCAATTGCCAGAAAAGAACGATCCTTCTTCAGAACTGCAAATTTAAGGATGTTGTTGAAGTGAACAATCCTCTCATCAGTGTCTTTCTCCAAGCACAACTCGTTCAGAGCTTCACAACTAATTCCACTCATCAAAATAACCTGATAAGGAAAGAACTTCAGCTTAGCAAAAGAGAACAGGCCCAGCATGAAATTTTTAGTTCAAAAGATCCAACAACAACATAATGCAACCACACTTTGAGCATAGTTGGAACATATCTTTTGACAACATTGTCAAACTGAGAGCAGTTTTATAACAATGCTCGTACAAAAATTAAAAGTACTGAATTTCAAGAATGCATATTACCAACAGAAAAATGCAAATTAACTCAACCAACATACATTTTACACAACAGAAAACATCTAAGTTTTAAGAGGGGTCTGCTAGCGGCATTTAGATAGAATTCTACAAGAAATTTTGCAAGATAACTGACAAGCATAGCATGAGCACAAATATAAGAATTAGCAAGTCATGAAGAAGTAAACATTTGCTTTTTTAATATTAGTCCTCGTTAATTAGTATGCTTGAATATGCATAAAAGCAGCAACCAATCAATGCACAGAGACAAAATGAGTAACAGATAAAAAGGTATTAGTATATGATAAAATTTACACATGTATAACAAATGACGAAAATGATTTTGCAAACAAGTATTCAGATCTACCTTTGTGTTCCAAAGAGTTTTCACACCCTTGGGCTTCAGTGGTTCATCCAATAAAACTGACCCTTTTTCTTCACTTTTATCTTCTACATCTAAGAAATCATGCTCAAAGCTGCAAGAGGAAATTAACACATCAAAAACACAGATGTATCCTATCAAAAGTTCATTTATATACATAAATAGAACAAACAGATTTAGAAAAAGCAACTCAAATAACCAAATGGCAGAAATATGAATATACAAGTACCTGACAGGAGTATAAAGTGAAAGATTCAAGGTTTCTCTCGGCCAGTTCACAATTGCCTGTAAAAAGAATATAATTGCAGCATTTGTATGCAACTAATAAAAGAATTGATGTGTCTTAATTTATTCAAAAAACAATGTAGGATGCATGTTGAACCTTTGAGAAATCTGGAGCTATAGCGAGCCTAGGATATCTCTTGCTCAAAGACAAGTAATCCCTTTCAACGTCCACCAAGCAGAAAGGATAAACCTGCCAAGGCCACTTCAAATATTACATAATATAAACATATCCATCCCAGCAATTTTATTAAAAAAATAATCCAGGTGATTTTCTTTATAAGAGCAGAGAAGAAAAAAAAATTCAAATCTCAATTATACATCATACAAAAATCACTGCAATATTGCTATTTATGCACTGGCGGTGTTTGGTAAGTTTGCACAAGCTAATGAGTCAACCAAAGGAAGAATTGCTGGAACAAGCACAAAGAACACAATGAATAGAGACTCCAGCAACTTGAAAAAAAAAATAAAGTCCAAGCAAGAAGCAAAAGATGAGAACTAGGCTAGAAAATGAAGGAACCAGATTGTCAATGTTAGGTTTATATGCATATAGGGTTACGGTAGCTAAGAGATTTCCTGAACTGCTGATAGAACAAAAGTTATCTGGCCAACTTGGCATCACATTGTCATGGTTGCTCAACCTACATCAGAAATGAACACAGTTCATGATTTTTTTTTTTACCTTGCAGATGTATTCTCTCTTTTTTTCTTTAACAGGTGAACGATGCCTTCAGTACCAAACAACAAACAAGTTAGTTGAGAAAGCTGCAACCATAGAGCAGCAGCAAACTGTTTATAGCTACAGCAGGGCATAAAAATATCATGAAGGTCCACCTATGCACAGCCTCTCGATGTGGCGAGACCCGACGCGGTGTGACTCGACGTACAGCCTTCTCGTCCTTTATCAAAGAAGAGCCTCGACGATCTCTAGTAGTTCTTGGAGGTGTCCGTTCTCGCCTTGAGTCAGGTCCATGCTTGCGGTCTCGTTCTCTCTCCTTGTCCCGCCGTTCCCGAAGGCGTTCCCTTTCGCGTTCCCTTTCACGTTCCCTTTCGCGTTCCCTTTCACGTTCCCTGTCCCTTTCTCGTTCTTTCTCTCTCTCCCGCATCAGTTCTCTACGGCGTTCTTCCTCTCTTATCTCAAGCTCTCGGCGGTAGGCATTTCGATCATCATTTCTTTCATCCACCATGGAGACTCCAAGGGTTGGATGGGTACGAGACAAGACATTCGCTTGATAGTTAGACTCGTGTGGTGGACCAAGAATACCCTTTCCTGCAGCGTAATCCCGACCAGGAGGCAAACCCACCCCATAAGCAGCATTTGATGACCCCTGAACATACATGAGGTCATCAACATTTCTCCTCGGAGCTCCCCCTAAAATGGAAGCTGCAACTTGTCCACCGTAAGAAGTAGCACCATAAACACTTAATCCACGTGGATCAGCATCCGTCCTTGCACCATATGAGCTAATTTCTTGTGAACCATGATGACTAGGCACAGTCCTTGCTGCAAAGTATTCATCTTGTCTGCCAGAAATGTATGTTCTACTCAGTGCAATAGGATTCAATAATATTCACTACAAACAAAGCAGTGAATGGAGATGCATTCATTGCCATCAACAATAACATAAAAGGTTGTGGGCGGACAAGAGTGGCATATCAGAACAATTATTTTCTATGTAGAATATAATTCATGCCCACATATAATAGTTGAAACTTGAAACTACGAAAGGCACATGACAACCCAGAAAAAAAAATCAACATTCTCTCCTATAAGCACATAAGCATAGGTACCTCATGTCTGAACCAGATTGCAGTGATTGTGCTTTCAGCATTTGCTGTTGTCGAAAGAGTGATGCCTTGAGAAATTGAACAGCAGGATGATCAACAATAATTCCATAGAAATACAAAGATAACAGAATAAAATCCTACTGATTCAGTACCTGGTCCATCTGATCATGCAACTCAGCCTGGACAATAAAATTCAAAAGTGGTTACTCACAAATAAATTCAATAACAAAGATGGCTGTCATTTACACAAACAACAATTTAGTGAACAGCAACAAATCAAAAAAGACAAACCTGATGACGGCTGCCGAGGGAGACAGAATCAAGGTATCTTCTCGCAGAATCACTCTGCAATTCCCTACCAACAAAAGCACCCTGATGTTCACCATAGTGCCTCCTATCTGTTAGAGCATAATCAGGATTTTTTATTGCTGAAAACTGGTCTCCTTTCTGGGAGTACGCACGATTAGTAGCAGAAACATAGTCATCAGTTGTGATTCCCATGCTAGAACCAAGATTTGCAGAAGAAAACTTGGATGATTCTACCAGCACAGATGGGTAAGCAGATCGACCTTGCAATGTGGATGGAACTGCTTCTTTACCACTCACTCCACCAACCTGTTCCACAAGAGATGCTTCAAAAGTTATATATGCATGATGCAAGATAGCTACATAAATACAATATGAACTACACTTTCAAATTATACTATATATTGATAAGAAGAGGCTCAGTGCAACATTGTGATGACAAATGTGGTGTCTGAGGGTTCAAACTACATATATTATTTTTATCACTCAAACTCATGTCACCCAAATCATAAAGAAGCAACCTTTTATGGAGCAAAAAATATAGATGACTAATATAAAAAGATGCTCTTGGTAAAATAAACCAATAAAATTGAAGTTTCTCCTACTTTTGAAAAAAAAATTAAACAATGAATAAAGAAAAACAAAAGGAAAAATGTTTTTTTTTTTTGCATTTTATTTTCTTTTTCACTTTTAAATTATTTTGACCAACATTGTCAATCTAGTGATGGATCTCCTTCATACAAGTATAAGAAAAAAGAGAAGCTAAGAAATGTCTCTTTCGGAATATAGAAAATTTAAAAAAATCATAGTATGGAGAGCTGAGAACATAATCAGAGTTAAAAATGAAATAAAAAGTAGCATACCAACTTTACAAATCCAAACTTCTATTGCAACATGCTTTATGTAATTAACAGCATAATTATTGAGATGAAATATAATTTCCAAAACGAATTGCTGAAGTTTCTATTATCAAATATTAAATGTAATTTCTTGTATATTCTTTTTAAAAATTCTCATATATGTTGCATAATTAAAGTGACTTAATTATTTAAATTAAGTTGCTCCTTGATGAAGTCATATGAATTACAAAAAAAAATCATTCAGTATGATCCTAAGATGACTACTAATACTTACAAAAATAATCACATAAAAATAATCACATACCAACAACTGTGTTGTAACAATCCAAGCAGTTTTCAAAGTTAACTATATGCAATCTTCTTAACAAAGGTTACTGGGCCATGTGCCACATGGATACTGGTCCCAGCTAGAACCAAATCACAGCACAATTCAAATGGCAAACATGACATGAAGCTTTTGTAGAAGTCTCTTTATGTACATAATTCTAGTAATCCAAAGCACAATATGGTAGACGCAGAACGAGAGCAAAAAATATAATAGGTGCAAGCATAGCAGCAATTAGGCTCACACAATTCAGCTGCCATGGACCTCAGTTTGCAAACAAAGTGCTGAGCCTCCTGCCAATTGCAAATCCTCATTGCCATCTCCTATTGATCAAGCTTATTAGGTTTACAATTTGATCAATTGACCCACCAATTCATCCAATGATGTGTTTTTAACTGGATTGATGTTGGATGTGAATTTGATAACCATGCATGAACCACTTTCATTATGAGTGTGACTCCTAAGCAAGGTTCACGATTTTGTACGGTACCAACGTTTCAAGCTCAGCTCTGCGTTGTACATTATAAGCGAGACCCCAGACGCTCGATGTATATATATATATATATATATATATATATATATATATATATATATATAAGTTAAAAAAATAAAAAAAAAAGGGCGACGTCGCCTCATTTCTTCTCCTCGCGAAGCCTTGACGACGTCGTCGAGGCTGCTTCTCCCCGCACGAATGAGAAGTCGCAAACAAAGCCAAGGCTTCATTGCCTCAGACGAGGAGGCAATATCTCATCTGCGGCATCCGACGAGGGACGGTGACGATGAATCGGGTCATCGAGGGAGAGCAACGCCAAATCTCCAGGTTCTTCCTTTTATTCTTCCTTTTCTTCCTTCTCCCTCGGCTAATATCATCCAGTAGCGAGCAGCAACGGTCAAAATCGATCGTTATAGACCGATTTTGGGCGGTAATGGGGCGGAAATAACCCCAATCGACGATAACACTCGATAGCGGGCGGTCCACATACCGATCTGCTGGCGAACCAATACGTACCGCCCGATACGGACATTATCATTTGAAATTAAAATCCTTGCTCCTAAGCATAGTAAACCCTGTTGATTGGCTAGGGTGGATGATAATCCTTTTTTAAATCTATCATAAAACTCTTTAATCCTTTTCTTTTCTTAGTGTCAATACCACAACCAAAACCATTTTTAATTAAATTATTAAAAATTATTAAACATGCATATCGATTAAGACTTTAATTTTTATTAGCATATTTATTTATTTTTTATTGGAAAATTTAAGTACCGAAACATGAGTCAAGTATCTACCTAATAGACATATAAAGCAAGTAGTAACATCGGGAGTTTTTGTTTTAGAAGATAAAATGTGTAACATTTGTTTCACCTAGGGAATTAATCGGATTGTTGCAAGCAAACTGAGCGAGATGTGCGTTGGATGAAGGAGTGATCTCATATCGAGCAATCCTATTGGGAATAATGAGGGCATCTTTGAATACTCAGTTTTATATCTAAAGCAAAGTTTCCAAAAAACCGCTAAAGTCTCAGCAATAACTGCTATACGAGATTGTATTGATTGGTTGAAAGCCCTGAAAGAGAATATTGTTCTAGGTGGGATTATGTCAGTAGGTACCAGTTCAAAAAAAGTTTAAGCACCATTCAAGGAAAGACAAAAACATTTATTTGGAAATCAAGAGAGGAATCTATTCGACATAGAAATGAGAGAGATTTTGTTACACCATAGATAATCATTTTGTTCACCTTCTGATTTAAATTTATCCTTAATCTAATTAAAAATATCTGAACTTGATTTAAAAAGATCAAGTAGACACGAGTGTCTAAAAAAATTCAGATTGACCAATATGATGCATGCGAAGGTGCATGCAATTTCAAAATCTAAATTTTTGGGGGCATGCAATTTCAAAGAAGGAAGAGGAATGAGGACGATAGAGGAGTGGTAGCAGCAGCTCCTAGGTGCATGTACAGGGAAGAGGGATCGCATTCCTATGAAATAGTTTTTTTTCTTTTTTTTTATTGATCAGATAGAACTGTTTCATGAGGCAATCCACACATTGTTTCATGCCCAGACCAGTACATACCGCTCATTTCATACCAGTTCAGGCGAAACCTTAGTCCATGAGCAAAACCTTTATTGGATACTAATCTATGATCTTGCTTTACCATGGGAAAAATCTTATGTCTAGTATTTTCAATTCTACACATATCAAGAAAGAAAGAAATGTAAATTCTATTATAGTCAACTCTACCATCTTAGTCCCCTAAAACAAAATGTACTTCTCTCTATTGAAATATATATCATTTTGCAGAAAAAAAAATGCTGTTATGAGTAAATCCCTATTCCAACACACAGAAGGGTCATTACTTCTAAGCAAAGTGCACTGGTGAGTAATAATAAACGACATTTTGGAGACTCATCCCATGGTAGATCTATGTAGTAGGAATCATGCAATTTTCACATCAGTTCTTGACAATTAAGAATTATGATAAGCAAAGTTATGGCACAGAGAATCACTTGTGAACATGGAGAAAAAAGAGAGGAGTAGGAAAAATAGAGAGGACAAGAAGAAGAGGAAAAGGGAGCAGGGGGCCAGCGATAGGTGGGTGAGACAACAGCGGGGAGCAGCCTAGTGACAATAGCTGTTGTAAAGCACAAGGGAGGCGCAACGAGACATTACGAGGGAGACCGAGAGAGAGAGAGAGGTTAACCCTAAACAAAAAGAAAAAAGTTGAATGGGACTGAACCACTCAAAAAAGGGTTTATTCACTGTTACGCTGATAAAGACTACAAGCAGAGTTTAGAACCTCGACACAAAAAAAATGTACGTCTAAATATTTCTAGTATGGTGGAAAAATTTTGGTACTTGCATATTGATTAATCATTAATATCATATCAAATTATGAATACATTCACACTGTATCTATAACCAGAATATTAAATGATGAATAAAGTATACCGATTCAGAAAAACTTTGTATTGCCACGAAGACCAAACAATCTACAATTGATAACCGGAGAATCAAAATGATTTAAATAGTCAATCCTTCCAATTCAATGGCTTTTAGGCAAAAGAAAAAGTGTCATGTTAGATGGCCAATTGGGCCAAGTTTTATCACTTGTAGCGCCTTGTAGCCTGCAAGCAATTGCCAGATTTTTTTTCACTACACAGAAAATAAATGACACCATATTTTTTAGTATTAAGTTGCATTATCTTTTTCTTCTATGAAAAGAATTAGTTACTAGTTAGGATGGATAAAGAAAATGAAATGCTAGACCACATACACAAGAAAACTTTTGATCAGACATTCTCCAGTCATGTTTGAATACATGCAAAAGACATTTGGGTCAAGATTTGATCACCACATTAGTTTAACAACCGTTCACTCATGCACAAGCACAAAAGATATGTTATGATGTGACCTTCTTAGAAGTATCACTGGTAATTTAAAATCTAGCCAAGACAGTATCATTAAAACCTACTCCATGGTCAAAAATTACAACTACAATGGGTATATTCATGAATATTCTTGCAAGCAAGTATTCTCACACACAACACGGCAAAAATGGTGTTCCAAAATCAGCAACTTAATAACAAATTATCGAAAAAAATTATAAAAATACCTAGCAGAAGGTTCAAAATACAAATCAGAAAAGGTCCATTGCTAAGAGTGATAAATCTCAAAAACACAGAAAAAGAAGTTTAAAAATTAGTAACAAAATAAGAGGCTCTCAGAAAATGTAGAACAAATTGTGAAAGAAGGTTCATAATACAAATCACAAAAACTACTGCAAAGAAGGTTTAAACTTCGTAGAAGGTTTCACAAAATATACTGATTGTTTTGTTTAAAGAACAGTTCTAAGAATCAATGGTAAAAAGATATTATCAAGATGCAATAGATCGAAAAGAAAAAAATTTACAGATATAATCTATCGTATAAGCGGCTCGAGGACAGCACCTGTTGAACATTGCTTAAACCAGATGAACCATAGACAGAAGCATATGGTCCTCCATATTGAGGTGCTTGTGAAGAATAGGTTCTATACGAGTTCATATCTGTATCTGAACCACCAACAGGGTTCCCAGTATAACCACTACCGGGCTGCAACAACGATATCACATTAAAAGGTGATAAACGCAAAAGAAAGACGAAAGAATACTCAAAAGCAACAACAACAAAAAGTTTAGCAAATGCTTCTATTTGATCTACTAAATCAATTAATAACAGAATGAAAATTAAGCTCACAATGTGCCCATATGCCTGTGAGGAACCGTAAGGCTGCTGCCCATACGGATTATTCCCCTTGGAAGGATACATCTTCCTTCCTCTCGCAGCAAAACAATCCTGCTTCAAGCACAAATTTTGATCTTTATCGCATAATAGAATACACAGAATACAGAAATTTGGATAAACATAACGCCGTCGAGGTACGAAACAAAACCCTAAAGCAAGATGATGTTGGTTTTAAATGGATTAAACGAAGATACAATCCCTAGAAATCAATTTTTCTTTCAAGATGCTAAAATATCAATTGCATCAAACAAAGGGATTTAACTCAATCTCATTAAATACATAGGAAAAGAAATCCTTCAAATCCATCTATCTCAATCCCCCCAAAAGTTCGAAGAAAAAGAGGCGACGAATTTGGGGACCAAGAATAATGAACGATCCAGAAGAAAATATCTGACCTCGTGGAAGAGAGCGGCACGACGAGGAACCAATCAACCGTCTCAAGAGACGGAAAGCGGCGGTGAAGATTAGGAAGGGCGGGTTCGGCGATGGAGCGAGGAGGGGTTTTGGGAACGGAAGAGGACTGCTGCAATCTTTAATGAAGCCCAGGGTTGCCATCGGCGCCGTTGGATTCTCGTAGATCAAACGGACAAAAATAGGCCACGTACGTCTTCAACGCCTGTGGCCCTGATGAGATCTCCTTCCCGCATGATCAGGATCATCAGAACGACCTGACTCAACCCAACGTTGCAACGTTGCTGGGTCAATTCATGCACCACACGTTTGGTAAAAATATAATACATAGCATATTATTATTCTTGTTTGTTTTATGAGACTGTCTTTTTATATATCTAAAAATTTCCAAATATCATATGTGCCATTAAAATATAAATTTTAATATTACCATGTATATATAACATCACTTCAAATATATATATAACATCTATTTAGAACACGTTAATATCGGAAAACTCTTATAGTATCTTTATCACTGTAATGAGTTCTTCAAGGTATTAGAGTTTTAATTAATATTACAAAAATTAACTGTGATGACATGTATGCAAATTTCTATGTTTTAAAATTATATATATGCTAATTTAAATTTAATCGTATGAATATGGAAATAATCAACTTTAAATAGCAGATATCATATTCCCAATATTTTGCCTATAAAGAGTTGCATGGCACTTCTCTACCATTTATTTTTCGAAAGAAAAAATAATTTATTACCTATATCGATACAAGTACAAGTATCCCTTCTTACATCACAATTCATAGGTACAACAAGATCAAAAGATAAATGCCCTCTTTCCCTATCGTGTTATGATCAGAAATTCTAGCATGTTGTTCAAGAAGTTACTCATTCTTTTTTCTTTTTAATAAACATAAGAGATTCTATACTCTAAAAATATATATCTATTATATTATTCAAAGAGTTCGAGGTAGACTTAATTTCTAATTCATGTAGCACAATACATTTAAAACCCATAATTTATAAATGTACTCGTGCACAGTCATCTTTAGACGTATTAGATTATATAATTCTAAATAGTTATATAAGATATATTATATATATGATTAAATTTTGATTATGATTATTAATTAATTAAATTTTTTTAATTATGATATTATTCTTTAGAAGATAACATTCACGAGAGAGATCCTTTTAATTGTGTTATTAAGAAATTATAAATCTTCTCTTTATCTTCTCGTTATCTCTAGTTTACCGTTTATAGTAATTCTTAAAAATAGAAAAAGATTAGAAAGCGAATCTAGTTTTTTTGCTATGTAGATTCATAGCACATATAGGTTACGGTGCATTGTTTGGATACTTGATGTATGGCACCTTTCATCTTACATCTATATACTTAATTTTAATTTTAACATTGAATTTTTACATAATATTTTTTATTTATAACAATTGATATTAGAGTCATTTCATGGAAACCTATGCTATCATACATTGCTAAAAAAACTCTGTGAATGATAAAAGGATAAGAGTGTCAAACGAAAAGATATACAATAATACCATCGGCTAGTCTAGGTCGGTAGTTGCATAAGGCTGAGTGGTGCGATGGTAATTGAGTTGCGCACTGCGTAAGCAGAATTGCTACGTGCAGCAACACTTTTGTGTGGTGATGGATGATAGCTCTTACGAAGGAGAAGCCACTATGAGAGAGCAAAAAAAAGGGGCTCGAGGGATTGCATCGCCTAGCATATGGAGCAGTGCGGATCGACATCGATAAGGTAGGTGGAGGCGATGCTAAGCAATCATTGAATGCGAAAAGGACATCGTAGTATGAAGGTCATACAATGACGATAGCAACGACTGGCAAGCTATGTTGGCTGTGATGAGGTCATTGACCCAATGAGGAAAGTTGTGCACCACGGACGCTGGCTATTGGTGATGAGTGACTAGTGGGAAATCGTGTGAGGAATGAGAGCTTGCATGGGCCACGACAGTGTGTGATGGATAAATGGCAACAACGCTTGAGGTCGTTACTTCACGATGTCGGATGCAAGGTGCTTCAACGATGACACGTAGTTTGATAGTCAATTCATCACTATGGTGAGTGACGCAATTAGGCGTCGGTTGGATGGCAAACGACAATGATACTAGGAGTGGCCTTCGCTAGACCGATTTAGGATGCCACAGTCAGTGATGCTATTCGTCGACGAGGACGGACCACATCATAGTGAGGACCCATTGGTCAAAATCAATTTTGACTAAAATCCCTAGACTATGTTTTAGGGCTACTTCTTTAATTTATTCTTTCAATTCCGCCCTTTTGATAACTATTTAATTTTGGCTTAAGTCAAAATCTAACTTTGACCAAAATTTGACTTCAGTCAATACCCTACTTTGACTATTTTAAATTTTGATCAAATTTTAATTCTGACTTTTAGTCAATTTTGTCTTTGACCCGATCTAAATTTTTGACTCTTTGATTGAATTATGGTCATGGCCTAATTTAGACCTAATTTGGTTCAAATTTAAGTTTTTAATTGATTTTGACCTCAGTTAACTTTCATTTCACCAAACCCTAATTTTGATTAAATTTGACCTCAATCAACTCTAATTCTAACTCGCGTAATTGGGATGATGTGTGACCTAAATCTATGAGTCCAATTTAGGTTGCCTAATTTTGGGCCTACCCAATTAAATAAGTTTGATTAGTCTAATTTAGGATTTCAAACTGAATTAAAAAAAATATAAATTATAATTTCCTTTATAGTTTTCTTATACGATATATCGATAAAACTTTTGCATATGAAAATTAAAATCTAATTATTGTTCTTAGATATTTGCTTAGTTATTCACATATATATTTAAAATTATGAAATAATATTTTTTTTTTACATAAAGGCATGATTTATGATTTATCATGATTATATTTATCATGTGAGTTTTTCTTTATATTGATTAATATTTTATAATTATTATAATTATTATTTTATTATTACTAAATTATTTTAGCATAAATTAAATTAAAAAAAATTATGAATATTATTTATAACTTATATCTTTGAGTTTTATCTAATTGGTAATCAATAAAATAGCTCAAGATGAAAGGTTTATGAGATATGAATTATAATATAAATTTTATCATTTATAAGATATTTTAAAATATATTTTATATTATTATATCTACCTTATAGTTATCAAAATGGCCTAGACTTATAAAATTACATTAATGAATTAGTCCTAAATGATATTTAAAAAATAATATTCATAATTACAAACTTAACTAAGAAATTTAGATAATTATAACGAAGAATCTACTTTGAATAATTATACGATTGAGTAGAATAATATTGTTTTAAATATCCTTACAATCTAGGAAAGCGAAATTATTCTTAAAGAATCACATCAGTCCTTCATATACTATTTAGTGTGAACACTAAATATGCTAATATTTCACCAAAAGTGAAATAAAGATAATATTAATACTATATTTTTTTATTAAAAAACTTAAAGTCTTTATATTATATTATTTTATTACAATGATATCTCCTTCATTGTATTCTAACAAATACTCATATATTTTTTAAAATTAAATTATTATAAATAATTTAAGCATATATAATTTATATTGAGTGTGTTAAATCTTTATCAAACTAGTTAAAATGGTTACAAACAAAAATATTGAAAGTTATATCAAACAAATAATTAAGATAAATGATTAGAAAAAGTCTAAAAGACTCAGTTTTATGAAAATTATTACTAATATTTAGATTTTTATTATAATCTATAACTAGTGCAATAGAATATTTTAAATATTAATTTAAATTTACTGATAAGTCGTTAGATGATACCTTCATAAAAGATCGAATTGAAGTTTAATATGATAGTATTTAAGAAATTCAAGATGATAACTTTAATATGACATATGATAGGAAAAATAATGGCATAGGTATTATTAGGATCGTGAATGAAACTAAGAGAGTGAGTAAATTAGTGCTATCGTAAACTTTCAACGATTTTAAAAAATTACGTTCGATAAAGCCCGTAATGGAAATGCATTTAAACTTAATAACGTTTGTAAGAGTGCACGCAAAAGTAGTAGATAGTTAAATTAGAATGCAATGAAAGTAAATAACAAAAGAAAAGAGCACACCGAATTTATAGTGGTTTGGTTGTCGTGACCCAAGTACACTCTCGATTCCTCCTCCGTCGAGGCCACTGACTTCTACTATCGATCTTCTTTCAATGAGCGAAGATCAACTACCCTCTTACAACTCTTTCTTATTTTCACAGGTTTAGTAGACAACCTTTACAAGTCTCACACATCTCTTAAAATGATCACAAATCTTAAAGAAGAGGAGGAGGACACCTAGCACTTTTTCAAGACTTTTACAACTCAAAATCTCAAGGCTTTTGTTCACTTTTCATGCTTTTTCAATAAGAAGAGCGTGGAGTATTTATAAGCCCCAAATGGCTTCAAAAATGGAGCCAAAAAGTATCTCATCCCATGTTTTCGGAGTATTGGCAATACCATCAACAGTACTAGGCGGTACCACCTCTGCTCCCTAGACAACTGACGGTACTACTGCTAGTCTGAGTGGTATGACCGCCTAACAGAGCCTTGGAGACTGGGCTCTAGCGGTACCATTGCTTGATAGGGTGGTATAACCACCGCTTTGTCACGGACTTAGCTGGTTTTGCCTAAGTCGTGCGGCACCCTTGCGTGTCCGTCCGCAAAGGTCAGCCTCCTCGAAGTCTCCCATTGTCCCTTATGACCAACAAAAGAGAGAACGGGCTAGAGAGAACGCCTCAATCGGGATCCACAAGCAAACATCTCCGAAAAACACTTCATAGACAATGCAAATCACAAACATACTTTACAAGCTCTGAACAGTGGCATAATAAAAGGGTAAAATGGTCCATTGCAGACCAAAA